TTTGATGCACTTTCGTGGGAATGAAAAACAGTTACCAATGTATACATAGTTGTATCAGTTAATCCATCTTGATACCCTGATGAATTTACCAATATCACCTATAATAGATCCTGATATATCAGCTAGTTTTTTTTTTGTATGTTTCTTCCGAGTATTTTATTCCTAGCAGCCGTTAGACCTAGACATTCAGATACGAAATGCTGGACACATTATTCGGTAACATTTAGTTGACAGATGCGGCAAGTTCTATTATATGGGAGCCCCATTCTCTCTGCATGCTTGCTTATGGTCCAGTGGCCTTTAATGTTTGCTAAAATTCTAAATACTTCTGCCCTAGATATTTAAGCAGGTCTAGGGTCTTCGTCCTGTTGCAGGCAGGCCAGAGTTCCCAGGCTATTTTTTTCTCTTTGAACGACTCCTGCCTTCGCCAATTCATCGGCCTTCTCATTTCCTTCAATACCATTGAGCATATTTCCGTTTTGAACTTCTGTACTAGCTAGGATTTGGTAATAGGCGATGCTAGGCTAACAAAGCCGCTTGGCTGTCGCAGTATATTGTCGCTTTCTTTATTCTACCCATGCCTTTTCTTAGAACCTAACAAGCTTCAAGGACGCCTAAGACTTCCGCTTGAAGAGTGCTTGCATCATTCCATAGACGAAGAGACAAGGAGGCGCCGAGTTCCTGAGAGTACAGACGTACTCCACCTCAATCCATCTTTTAGCTGCCGCTTTATTGGCCACCCTGCCTCCCCTCCACTTTCTTCTGAATGGGACTCTCACTTGTATAGTCAGTATTTAGTCTTGATTATATTTCCATAATAATATTTTTATGTCTGAATTGGCCGAGGAACTTCTTCTTTTCAAAGTTTGTTTTTGGCACCCAATTTTTTGTCGCGAATATCTGGTAAGAGTGTGTTGATTTTAATATGCTTGCACTTATTTATTTTTTTCTGTGACAATTAAATCAATAACCTTGTTGTCAGCGAATTCAAAAATTGTGTCCAAACCAGAATTATCGGTTGGAATATTTTGTTGCAAGCCTCATCGCCCAGTGAATGTTAGAAAATTAGTTCTTGAAATGCTCGGTATTCAATATATGCTTCCTTCAAACCACTTTAAAACAACAAAAAAAAAACCTGCTTGGGCTCCGGTGAAGGTTTTCGTCAAATCCGCTTGGCACAAAATCGAATTTTTTTATGCAGAGTTAAAATTTGCTATTGCCTTTTTGTCTTAGCTTATGTAAAAATTAGTAAGTGTATTCAACCTTTAATAATATTTTTATATTATTATTACTTACATGTGTATGTGAGAATGTTGTGAGGAGGTAAGAGCAAAAAACCATTTTCCTTAACGACTTACAAAACCCGGCATATCTTTTGTTCTTCGACTACTATCTTAAGAAAGAGTTTATTCGTATTTCGAACGGTAGTCAGACAATTACGGTCAGTTTCATGAAAGGAATTTTTCTATCAGTTTCCATATTAAATTCATAAATTCATATTAAAAAAAAAAAAACTTTTTTACTTAACCAGCTTTCGTGAAACTGGCTATTAGAGTTTGAAATATGAATTGATTAAAATTCTAGGATCTTTTAACATGCGTATTTAATATTAAAAGAAAATTATTTAAATTTTAAAAGTTCAAAACTTTGTTCATAAAAATACATTTACATAAATTATTATTTGAAAATTCTTTGTTTTCAGTATCCCTATTATATGCATATGCATATTATTATCTGTTTTTAAATCTTTTTGCTATAACTGACCAAAAACACATGAAACGTAGTCAAAAGAATATTCTATACAGCTCTGAGAAAGAACTTGAGCAGTCAACGCCTTACTGAGGATCAACTCACCTGGTTCAATTAAATATTGGGACCTTAGACAATTGCTCTGAGTGGCTCTAAGCCTTCGAAAAAACCAGGCTTCGAAGGGTCAGTAGGAGACGAGAATAAGTTTGAAGGGGCAACAACTAATAAAGGAGCTACCTAGCGTCTCAAAGCGAAGCAGACTCACCAGCTGATCACTTAAAGAGCTAGAAAATACGACCAAGTAACCGAAGCCGCTCCCAATTAAATTGCGTTAATGGCGGCAGATACAGAACCGAGTGCGGGGGATGATGAGCCCAGCTTTTCAAAGCAGATGTACTATTTCTCGTGAAAAGTAGTATCCCATAAATTAGAGGTGCAGAAAGTACATGGCGAATTAAATCTCTGTTTCGTTTCTGGAACATCTATAAAAATCACATGGTTCTAAACTAGTCCTATCTCAGATCTTTTTCACGGAAGCAATTTTTAAATCATTTTTTTTTATAAAAATTTGTGTTTTTTTTTTATTAATTAAAGTATTGTTAGTTTCACAAAAATATAGGTTAGATGACCGCCTCCGTGAGTGGAGGCACACTTAGACAATGATGAGGCTCTCCACTTTGGTGCCCTTTATAGGAGGAAGGGAAAAGAGTCACAGGAAAGTAGGAAGAAAGAGGATGACAAATGGAGGAGAGGGAGGGGAAAGAAGAGAGCGTTGGAAACTTTGTTAAGTGACTAAGCCTAAGATTCGCAAAAGCTGGACACCAGAACAGCACGTGCTGAGATGATCCCACCTAATCGTCCAACAATGCGGCTGGTGCAATAGGGGTCATCGATGATATTAAACCTTACCGCGTGCTTACCTATCACACATTGGCCAGTTAAAACTATCAGTACTACGGAGACGTGCACCTTGCTTAGTCCCAAGAGCCCCTAAACCGCCCCCGGTCTACACGTGGCTAGATGGATTTCTCCCACCTTGCATTCCAAGATCTTCACCCAGTGCCCGCTGAATTGACCAAACACCCATCTGTCCACGAATAGACCACACGAGGTCAGGGGAGCACCCAAATCAGCCCTGACCAGGAGCAGTTTCTCAAGGGTTTCCTGTTTTGCCAACTCGTCGGCCTTGCGATTGCCAGCAATTTCACTGCGATCCGGCACCTAAATACTTTTAATAGCATAATAATCCCTTATGGTCGATAGGGAGGTCAAGAAACACACGATAACAGGACCCTGATTCAATATACTACACTCCTCCTGGTCATCCCTCGCTGGGATATCCTTCCGGACCCAAACTTGTCGGTCATGGTCTGTTCGAGTTGGTAGGCACTCGAAGTAATTTATTAGTGCCCCATTGATTCCAATTAAGGCCGCTCTTTGCACTCCTTCCAGCTGCTTCACGCTAATTATCTTGAGTGTTCCACCAGACGAGTACCCTATAAAATAAAATTGGCTGACTATAGTTTCATAAGGCCAATGAACTATTTTCGGTGAGAGACCCCAGCGCTTAGCAACGGCAATCCTAAAGCATAATAATGTTACTGTTGCATTCTTGAATTTTTCCTTTACGATGGGTTTCCAGGAAAGCTTGCTATCAAGTATCAATCCCAAGTACTTCACCCTGTCAGAAAGCCGTAAGTCTTCCACTACGCCTATTGAGGGTAGACGGGAAGTCTGTACCTTATACCTCGTAATAAAAATAAAAAGCTCCGTTTTGCTACGGTTCATGAATCAAAAGAGTGTTTCTAGAAACACTGTTAGCAGTGCTAAAACGTCAGCATAGGCAACCACCTGGCAGCCACTGCGCTCCAGAGCCACCAACAATCGTAAAGGTCAGCTCCGACCCCTAGCTAATTTAGAGGGTTTATGATAGCCTCGGGCAAGACATTATTAAAAGCCCCCTCGATATCAGGGAAGGAGGCACAAATGCGCATTCCTTCTGCGAAAAGGACTGCTCAATACCGTCAGCGGCCGCTTGAACGTATCTGCCTTTACAGTAGGCTTGCTGATTTAAGGAAAGACGCTGCCTGAGAATCCCGCTGCTTCGGTGCAGATCAATCAGTCTCTCCAGCGTCTTTAAAAGAAACGGCCTCAAGCTCAAAAAAAAATTTTTACTATTAATTTGTTTGAATAATTTCAGTTTTAATTTGCCATATAAAATTTTTTATAAAAGAAAATATATTCGTTTATATGTAATTTGAATTTTTTCATTTAAATTTTAAAACATGTGTGTTGATTTAAATTTTAAAAATCCTCAATTGTACAAAATATCTCCTTAAATCGCTCTAAATGCCCTCTTTGCATACAACAACCTCTGCACTCTCTTCTGCTTTTCACTTGTTTCATTGCAGACATTCCGCAAACAACGACAGTGACCACAATAGCACCAACTGTGGCGCTCAATACCGTACCGGTGGTGATTGTTAAATACAACAACAAAGGTGCGTATAACTGCCACACGCTATGCATGCTAACATACATACATCCATACATACCTATGTCTATGTATATTTCCAAATTTAAATATGCAGCATGTTTGCTCTCCTATTTACTTTAAGTTGAATTTAATTCGCCCCTCATCACCCCTTCTTCAACAACCATTTATGCATGCTCTACTCCTCACAACAAGTCAAACATACATAGCAGCGTCACATTCAGCTTCCCCCTTTTGTATAAAGCGAACCAGAATGTGCATACTATATAGCATTACAAAGTGTATAAAAGTCCTTATGCTTCACTTAACAGCCATCCTTTCACTGCCTGTCGTCCTTAACTTACCTTACCAATCCCCTCAACAACTTAATGCATCCACTTGTCTCATTTATTATTCCATTGCAACGCTTTTATGTACATCTCTTATGTTGTTGCAATGGTTATTGTTGGCGGGGGTACGCTTGATTGGCATCAGAGAGGCACTATAGAAATGCATGAGCAGTGTAGAGAGATGAAGAGCGCGTTAAAGTTTGAGTAGAAGAGACAGCACTTATGTATGTGTACCGAGCAAAAGTACCACAACCCACTTATGTATGTCGCTTTTATGATCAATTTGCCACATAGTTGACTTATTACTTATATTTATATATTTATTTGATTTCTTTGCAACACAACAACAATGGCAACGTTTTATAACTGGATGTTTTTGACGACAACAACTACAACAACAATTATGGATGCTTGCCTCAACAAAGTAGATCAACGTTTCAATAAAAAAGTTCATCGCACAAAATCGAATGCAGCAGATACGCCATCATCGTCGGTGAATAATGTCTTTGTTGGTGCCACATCGAGCTTATGGAATTCACAGGACCATGGCGCGGGGAGGGAGCATCATCAATGTGAGTATCGTAGGGAATGTGGCATTTTCTAGAGCAGATGCCGATTGAAGTTTTACCTCTAACAAAATTAGCACTATAAAACAGGGATGGAAAACAAGGTTTTTGGGTCTACCAAAACCTGCAGAAATCAAAAATTTCATTCCTGAATCTTACTGCAGTTTATAACCATTTTTAGTCTATAACAAAAATAAAGCCTCTGAAGATCGCAACCGTCATCAGTAAATGGTTCCAAAATTACCATTTTGATGTGTTCTGGCCTGTTTCCTCAGAAATTTCCGTTGCGATCAGATTACTGCAGCGTTTTCCATGCTGAGATATTAGCAATTCATGGTGCGGCAAAGCCGGTAAGCAAGCTCTACAAAAACTCGCTTTCGCCGTGGATAATCAAGTTGCTATCAAGTCCCTTTTGAGTTGGTAATTACTAATGCAATATGCGTACAGGAATGCCGAAGATAGTGGATCGCTAGTGTATCGCGAGACACAGCGACATTCAGGGAAATAAAGAATTAGACAAATGCGCCAAAAGAAGATCGGATATAGAATTATGGGCAGCCGCTCATAAGCATATAATCGCCTTACGAATCCTGCTGCCATCAGTTGAGGAGAGGGCCACGCGACGATTTCTAGGGCTATCAAAAACGAACGTTCCGACGCTCAAGGAAATACTAATGAGTCACTGGATCATTGGTCATATGTCCGCTAGGTTCGGAGTCTGGCATAACGATTGCTTTAGAAGCTGTAGACATGAGGTGGAGATAGCGTAAGTCCAGCACTTCCTATGCGAGTACCTTTCTTTTCGGAGAAAGCGTTTTAGATGTATGTGATACAATTTCTTCTAACACGAAGAAAGTTTGGCGAAAACGCCATGAAATGTTCTGCTAGGAGACATGGTCCTTAATGGTATCCGAATGTATTCTCTAACCAGATCTAGCTGCCTTAACTAGCCTACGAAACCTCTGTGATAACACTATGATGTCCAGAACTCGCAAGATTTCTGTTAAGACTTCAACGTTCGTTTAACTGACGGATCCGTGACGATATTGAGCCGCACCACGTGGGTCGCTAAAGGATAATGTGGAGTCGATAGCTGGTGATTGGCCAGCTGTAGAAGATCCCTTGACCGAACGCGTTCAATAACCGGCCCGAAGGATCGTGTAACTTTGTATGTGAGCGTTTTCGCCCAACGCTCGCTCAGCTGATTGTGAGCCCATCTGTCCAGGGGCAGGCCGCAGGTTGCCAACGGAATTCCTATGCTCTCCCTGTCAAGTGGGATGGCCTCGAGGGTGCCCGGCCTAGCCAATTCATTAGTCCTGCAATTTCCAGTAATGGCACTGAGCCCTGGGACCAAAATCAGTTTAATTAGGAAGTATTCCGAGGCAGTTGAGATAGAAGTCAGGCATTCCTCGACCAGTTTTTATCATACCATTAGCGAACTCAGCGCCTGGCTGTCAGCGTAGATATTTACCTTCCTATTACCCGGCAATACGTTGGTGCCTAGCCAATCGGCTGCCTCTTTTATAGCGACCGCCTCGGCCTGAAAGATGTTGAAGAGATCTGTCTGCGAATAACATTTAGTAAGATTTCCTTATAGTAGACACCTCCTCCCACCGCCCAGATTCGATCCGACCTCTACTCCAGATACAAAGTCATTGCTGGGAGAGTTTTTAATATTAAACCTATTTAAAAAACAATGACGTCAAAATAAAGGTAATTAGTGGACGTTGTTAAGTTCACCAAGTTCGGAAGAAATTGATAGATCGGTTACCGAGATACACATTTGTGGTCACAAGTGGGCGTTGCCACACCCATTATCCAAAAGTTGTAATGTTCTAATTTTCTGCTAAGTAGTTATGGCAATCATCGATTATAAATGAATTTGCTCCAGTAGTTACCTATTTATCGCAGTTTTCGTGTTTCTGAAAATTAGCGTTATATGGCTGGTGGGCGTGGTTATTTCTCGATTTCAAAGATTTTCAACACATTTCTTAGTTAGATCCTACTAAAGGCTCTTACCGAGTTTAATAAGGATTGGTGGAGTGGCTACCGAGATACAGCATTTCATCATAAAGGGGCGAGATCACGCCCATTTTCCAAAAATTTCATAATACTATTATTTTTTACCACAATTCTACTTCACGTACTGATTTTCAACAATTTGCATTGAATATTTTCTGAAATATCGTAGTATTTGCATTTTTAGAAAATACCGTTATATGGGAAGTGGGCGTGGCTACAGTCCGATTTCGCCCATTTTCAGTACCAACCTACCCTAGATAAAGGGCAAACCACGTACAAAATTATGCGAACAAAGTTAATATACCCTTGTGCACAAGTGCGCTCGGGAATGAAAATATAAAAGTTTAACTTTGACCTTTGCTTTTGGTTTGTGTAAAATAATCTTGATGTGATTGAAATAAGCATGAAAAGTTCCACATTTTTTTTTTTCTTTTTTTTCTTTTGTATGTCTAAACGGTTAGTATTCTACACAACGACTACTTCGGACTATTTCTGTCTAAATACCGCAGTACGGTATTGGGCTAAATGTGAGTATGAAAACGTAAACAAACAAATGTCAAATTAAACTCTTGAGGTTCGTAAATACCCCAATGACTTGTTCATAGCAGTCGTTCATAAACACAAAACGTTAAATTCGAGTTTATGGCTTACCGTGAACCTTGTATCGGTGTATCGGTACTATTGCATTGTGCTGGTAAAATCCAAAAAATTTTCTTAAACTTAATTAAAAACTCCCTTAAAATTAGAAACCCACATACCTTGAAAAAGGGACCATTTGACGCAACTACTTTAAAATTAATTTAGTAACAAAATACCTATAATTTTAAATTAAAAATTGTTTGTTTTTTTCTTTTAAAAATAAGATAACATAAACTTTAAATTTTCATTTTTTTTTCTTATTCTAGTAACTGAATATACACACATGTTTGCCGATTGGGACATGGTATAAAATGTACTTCACTTCAACGATATTCTCACCATAAATATTAATTTTACAGAGGAAGGCCGGAGTCAAATTAAAACAACTATTCCGTTTAAAATTGTTTTCTTTTATGAAATATGTAGTAGTGCTATGTTTGGTAAAATTTTTTTGACTTCGATTTTTTTATTATTGGCCTACTACAGCAACCACTGTGCAATCTAGAGAAATTTTTGCAATTCGGTCGACTGGACTCAAATCCTGACAGCTCTATAAAACTTTCATACAGCCACGTACTTATGGACCTAAAAATCGTGTACCGTAGGTCGTAGTCGTGTAGGTAACTAATTAAGAAACGATACAGCTTCATAACTCAGATGGAGGAAGAAAAATGTATAACGGCACAGAAGGCGTTCCACACGTATTGGTCCTTGATCTCATGCTATGGAGAGTAATGTAAGATGCCTGAGACTTGATTTACCTGTTCCTTCACAGCAACTTCTCAACTTGTATGTATGTATGTACATAAGTTTCATATCAACAAGTCTGATTCTTGCAAATGCGCTTTTTTTAAAATTCATGCAATGCTTCGGAATTTTCGCAAAACTCTTTGCTAGATTAAATTAAATGCCCAGAAGAATTTAAGAAAATATCGAAGAAAATTTGTGAAAGAGAGTATGGGGAAAAACTTTATGGATACATATACATATATGTTTGCATGTATGGATGATGCAAAAAAGACAAAATAACATATGCAATAAAAGTTGGATGGGAAAAAATGAAAAAAAATACATAGAAGTAAGCAACGTCGACAGCTAGAAAAGTGCAGTAAGTGCAGCGAGGAAATAAAGAAATTGAAAATAAATAATCGAAAGCATAGTGCTCCTCACAGGTTTTCATATTCAAAATTCTTTACACAAGCAGCTTGAATCGAATATTGGCATTGTGTGGCTGTAGATCTTTGTGCGCCGGCTTGAATTGGCAGAAGGATAATGCAACAACGTCACACAGCTGCGCTAGAAGACACTCATAGTTTTGTCATCAGCTCGGCAATCAGCTGTGGCAGGACGACGTAAGCAGCTCGAGGCGGAAGCAGGCTATAAAGAGCCTTAGTGGCAGTCGCTAGACAGAACCATGTAGTGAGAGACAGAGAGAGGCATGCAGGTGGTGGTGTTTCGAGATGCAATGCACTCAGCGCATATGACGTTGATTTCTTCAATGCAAATCTATAATTCACACTTGTGTGCACTACTGCCACATGCTCTACTACGTGCATACAATTGGCTTGAGTGTGCTGATTTCCGGACTGTCTCTTCTTCTTCGCGAATGTCTGTGTGACGCTGACGCCTGCAATTACCCGCATTCAATAGCACATCCTACCGTTTTCTTTGCACTTTGTGGCGACGTTTTCGAAGCCAGTCGATTTTCTTGAATTGCAGCTGACAGACTATGCGGGTTAACAGTTTGTATGTATGAGCACGCAACGAGGTATGGCCTTCGTCGTTGTCAGAAAAGAGCGGTGATTAAAGAGAGTGCGCCTCGCCTGCTGACACCATTCAATTGGCATAATCGTTTGTCATATTGTCATAGAAGTAGTGGAAGGTATGGCATTTTTGTTGAATGCAAATCGTGTGTAAGCACATTGAAGCCAAAGATAACGAAAAGATGAGATGCTTATAAAAACCTTTAAAAGAAATCATAACTACGGATAACATGCCGAAGATAGGGAGATTAGCTGTTCAAGACATAAAAAAAAAATTCAAAAATATTGCAAATTTTTGCTCAGTATTTGGCCGAGGCATAACACAAAATGATGGGCATGCCACCTTAGAACGCATTCGAACTACTCGGCAACGGCGTCTGCTGTTTGAGGCATGAAGAACATAGATTCTTAAAGTATGCTGCAACAGTTCTTTGAAACTAAGCCAATCGGATAGAGTTTAGAATTGTTTCTAGTTATGTTCTGCTGATATGTTCAATGCTTTTGTTATATACGGTTTCCTAGTTTGGGGGATAATAGAGCGGATTCTTTAATATTTTTTTTGGGTTGCATTAAGTTCCGCCT